GCTGCAGGCTTCCCCCACTGACTTTGCTAAGGCAGTGCAGGAGCCACACAGCAAACTGAATGAGAATCAGGGCCTGGGTCTACAAGAGGCGGTGTAAAGGCAGCAGGGGACAAGGGTCACGTAGGGGAGGAAATAGTGTGAGCTGAGCTGCTGGATGCCCCCCAGATGCATACATATCCTTCTAAAGTGACTGTGTAAAGTTTGCATCACATCTCCATCCCTGTGGGGCCAGGAGTCCACGAGTCATTTCCTGAAATGTGTTTTTATGGCAAGTTGGACAATACCTACTGACCTGTATTGATCCTCTGTAATTAAGACCAAGCCCAGGAAGGTACCAAAGAAGCTCTGGTCTAGGTGATGGGGGTGTCCAGTCCAGGGAGGCTGAGGACTCTTTACTCATAATCCTCTAGCTCCTGTCTTTGAGTTCAGGCCCCTTTCCCCGCAGCCTTGCCCCAGGAGGCCTTTCTTCCATGTCCTCCTCTCACTCACCTCTTCATTATACTTTCTCAGACCCATCCCATTCCCTCTACCCCTCTTTCTCATCACACATGCACCATTTCCAAGTTTCACTGTCTGTGCTCCCCCTATTTATTCCATCAACTCTACAAGGCAAACTCCTACTTATCTATTGAACCCTACAGCATTCCTTCTCTTCCAGGAAGCATTCCCAGACTACCCCAGTCAGAGTCACTTGTTTCCTATACTCCTGTATGCCAGCACACACACCCCTCTCATAGCACTTGGGATATTAATGATCACAATGGATCAATGTTTGTTGATCACCAATATGCAGGAGGCAACATTTTAGGGACTTTAGAAGGATGATTGTATTTAATTTTTTATCACCATTGGAGTAGTCACTCTATGGAGTAGATACCATTATTATCCTTGTTTGACAGAGAAAGCTGTAGCAATGGCAAGTGGGTAAGTGGTATAGAACTATAGAAAGTGATAGATGCTTAGAAAAGTGCTTGGAGCACAGTATCTGCTCATTAGTAATTATCTCATGAATTATTAAACACGTAAATAAGTAGAGAAGTAATTGCATTTCCATCTCCATTCTAGAAAGCGCAGGTGCCAACTTTTTATTTTATTATTTTTTAAGACAAGTCTCATGTAGCCAAGGCTGGCCCTGAACCCCTGATCCTCCTGCCTCTACCTCCCCAGTGCTAGGATTACAGGTGCAGCCTACCATGCATAACTTGAAAACTTTTAATTTTTTATCATTATTGTGCATATGTGCTTATACAGGTGTACATGCCATAGCATGTATGTAGAAGGCCACAGAACCTTGTGGAGTCGGTTCTGTCCTTCCATCTTTCTGTGTGTTCCAGGGATTGAACTCAAGTCGCCAGGTTTGCACAGCAATGCCTTTATCTGCTGAGCCATCTCCCTGTTACCCACCTCCCTTTTCCACACAGGTTCTTATGTGACTGGTCCCAAACACTGTACAGCTGAAGACGACCTTCTTACACATCTTCATAACGACTTACAGTTGGATGCCTAGCTAAGGTGAAGGGTGTTGCTGGTGGAGGAATGACCAAAAGACTAGGAAAGCAAGCAAGCAAGAGAGCCTCAGGAGTGCCACTCGCCGGCTCCTCCTTAACAGCTATGGCTCCCTGGGCCCTGTGTGTCACCTGCCAAACGCAGAGATGGCTCACAACCTAAGTTCCTCCTGGCACTACAGTTTCACGTGAAGCACAATTTGGTGATTGTGGCATTCCCATATCAAATTATGTACTGCAGGTTCATCTGGGAAACATCACCTACCTGGATGTCACATTCGAGCTGGGTATTGCCCTAATGCCAATCAGTCTCAAAGGAGTTCATTTGGCTTGATCCTTGGTTTACCCCATTCCTACCTGGAGCCACACCCAAGAAATGGATTATTAAGTGCCTGATGAAATTCTCATAAATAGTAACAGACAATAGACAACTATCTCAAGTTGAAGTATGCAACATGCAGCTGAGCCAGTGTTCTGGAGACCTGCTGGGTCATTCTTTTGTCCTGGTATCTCCACCATAGCCCTTCTTCTCTGAGCAGATCCTGGGCCTCTCAATCTCATGTATGACCACCAGCACACATGGGTGTATGCATGTAGGTAACTAGTGTGCTTAGCATGTCCTGGGGAGCTGATAAGCCCAATCCACTCCAGATGGTATTGGATCATGTCCCCCTTTGTTTAAAGGAGGGGTCTGGACAAATTGTGTTTGGTACCACAGTGCCTGTGGCTAAGCAGGAGTTTGGCTTTATGCCTGGCACCCAACCTGCATTATCTGGACTAGCATTTATGAGCAGCCACATGTTTGCTAATGCCTTGTATTTCTTATCTGGCTGATGCTAAGCACAAACTATTACATCAAAGGAAATAAAAACAGTGTATGAATAAGATGGTGTCTGTTATGTGGGAGGACAGGCAGGAGCCCTCTCCCATGGTTTTTCTTGACCTATGGTAAGTATGAATTTTTAGAGCTAAGCACCAATCACCTGTCATGAATCCAGGTGGAAAGGGCCCAATCAGAATTAAAGTGGCAAATACAGAGGACATCTGGATTTGTCTGCACTCACACATTCTTGGGGAGCTGCTCCACCCTCATGTCAATCATGTGATGCTTGAAAAAGCTGTCAATCACAGTAACCAGATCCCCTGCCTTAGACCATCATAAATGGTCAAAGGATTAGAACTCCAGCTAAGAGCCACTCTTAGCACAACTGACTAAAGATGGTCTCATCTTTGAATCACAGATACCCGCAGTGATCTGTTAGCCACAAGAGACAAGGACTCTGCTACTTCAAAACATCAGAGCTTTTAAAGCAGGGTTGGCCAGGAACCTGGCTGGTGGCTTTTCAAAGGACATCTTCAGAGTCAGGCATGATGGTACATGCCAGTAATCAGGAAATAGAGGCACAAAGATCAGGAGTTCAAGTTCAGCCACTAGTACATAGTGAGTTAGAGCCTGGGCTACATGAGACCTGTCTCAAAACAAAAGACAAGACATCATGCTGGCCAGGCTTCCTCCCATCCCCTGCTAGCTGATTCCCTCAAAAGATCCAGCCACAAGGGCAATGTTACCTTCTAATAAAACAATTCCTCTGGGTGAGATGATTTACACTTGTAATCCCAGCACTTGGGAAACAGAGGCAGGAGCCTTGCCACGAGTTTGAGGCCAGCCTGGGTAAAGAGTTCTAAAAACCCTCCACGAGAGAACATTAAATAGTGGTCACATAATTTCTTTCTATGGGATCCTTCTTATAACATGTTTAGGGTCTGGGGGGAAGGGGACCACACATCGGGTCCTTTTTATAAGAAAGCCACATAATGTGACAGAGAAGGGTAACTCTCCAAGCTCAAGGCTTCTCCTCCAACTCTGCAGAGTTGCCCAGGGAGCCATGAGCCATGACGTGACAGCTTGGAAGGGAGGCATGGTGGGAGTGGCACCCAGGGCACCTGTCCTCCTCACTTTGCCCTGCCACCCTGTGTGCCCTGCCTGACGCTGTAACATGACAGGTTTCTGATCAGCATGGGAGGCAGCTCATCCACTCATTCACTTGGGGCTTAAGTGTGCATGGTTTCAGCACAGAGAATTGCTCTCTGTACCCTGCAGTCAGTGAACTGGACTGAGGAGCCTGGCAGCTGTCTCCCTGGGGCAATGGAAAGTAGCTGTATCCCACGGTGGCCTCAGCCACTCCCCATCACCAAAACAAAAACACAACAGGCCCGATTGCCATGGAGAGTTCAATCCTCTTGTCCTGGGATTGGCACTGACTGGAATTCCAAGGGCTTGGCTGACTTACCTCCTGAGAGGTCGAAATACCGTTCATTCACTGTCAACCTAAACATTCAGTATGAACCTGTGCCTGGTGACAGCCCCCCAGGGCCAGCAGCCAGACTCTACTTCTAACAATTCGCCAGGTGGTGACATTTCAGAGATGTCAGATGTATGATGCTCTGGGTGGCCTGGGTTCACAATGTTGTTGACCCAAGACCCCTAGGGATGGATGCAACAAATTTGTTGAAAGTTAGCTGTAAGCATGCTCTGAGCAGAGAAATGGATCCTGGGAAAGGGGCAGGGGCGAGGTAGGAAGAAAGAAGAGGAAAGACCAAAGACCGAAATTGAAAATCAAGGGGTTGGGCTGGGGAGATGGCTCAGTCAGTAAAGTACTTGCTATACAAGCATGGAGACCCCAGTTCCAATCCCCAGCACCAAGATAAAATCTAGGCATGGAGATGGGCACTGGGGAGGCAGAGTCAGGCAGATCCCGGGGGGTTCACTGGCTAGTCATTCTGGGTCAAATGATGAACTCTAGGTTCAGTGAGAGACCCTGCCTCAAAAAAATAAGGAGGAGAGTGATGGAGGGAGGGAGATTCCCAGAGTTGACTTGTGGTCATCTTATAAGCATACACACTCACACAAATGAATGCATCTATACACACGTGCATTTTACACACACACACACAAATAAAAATAAATAAATAAATAAAACAGGGGCCTTTCTATAGTGTTTGCTCCCAGAGGACCACTATTTAAAGGTGCCTCTCTAGGGAGCTCGGGACTTACACTATGGAATCAGAGCCAGGTTGCCTTCAAGTTTTATGAGCCTCGGTAAAATAATTACTCTCTCAGTTTCCATATCTCTGAAGCAGTCCAAAGGCCAACTTCAGGTATTCAATGGGATCACAGACGTAAAGCAGCAAGACACAGATGCTGCTCAGTAAGCAGTGGTGGCCATGGGCAGCTGTGGTTGTTGTGACCGCAGAAGTGGAATGACAGCAAGTGTCTGCTGCACTCCGTCCACTTTGCCTTTGGTTCCCTCCCTTGGAGAAGACACTGAAGAGTGGCTGTGGCCACAACAGGATGGACTCCCAGGCAGCACTTCCAGACAAAGGGAACCTTCTGCAGAATAGCACTCACATCTACTAAGAACCTTGAACTGGCAAGTTAGCAATAGTTCCCTAACTCGCCATCCCACCACAGTAAGAAACGTGGGGTCCCCTTACCTTAGTATTCACACAGGACTTCCCTCGCTTATACTCCTTGTGGGAGCCACGTTTGTCCAGTTTGTACCACAGGGCTTTGGCCTTCCAAGTGGTCACCTTGGACTTGAGCTGGGAGTAGAAGTTTCTGTGGTCCAGAGGGTCTATGTCCAGGAGTCGGGTGAGGATGTTAAAGGCTTGCAAGGTGCCTTTGCATGTGGAGGCCTGGACGAAGTTCTCAAAGACCTGATTGGCCTGAGCCTGCTTCTCGTCCTCAATTTCCCCCATGGTTCAGGAGCCTCGTGGAGCAGTGGTGTGGAGGGGATCGCCAGGAAGCATCCGGAGGTGTCACACCTGTGAAGGAAGGTGGTAGCAGGTGAGCTTTGTACCCTTCGAGATACTAAAATGCTGGTCTTGACTCTTCATGCTCACCTGGACCATATCTGGAGCAGAGCCAATGTACCTTCTGGTCTGGCACGATGCCTTGCTGGCAACCTCTCTCCCCAGCCCCCACTCCTCTCCCTGGCTAGCAAACCACCAATTGCGCAAAGTCATATATACCCCGATAATGTCAACAGGACCTAGGCAATCATCTACAAGTCAGATAGCTCTGGAAACTGTGACTACGGATATGAAAAAGTCAGAGAGGAACACTAAATTTAGCCCAGTTGAAAACCTACCATTCTTGGCACTTTGAGTTGGTTAACTAACACAAATTCAACCTAGCTATAACCCCATAATCCATCTCTCTCTCTGGGTTCCATGACCTTCTTCCTGGATTATCCCAGGGCAGACCTTTTTCCTATAGAGGTGACATATAACAACTTCTCAAAACTTGTTTCTGAAATCTGCTGGAAACACACCATCTACCTTAGTCAGACAAGAGAGACACATGGCCTGCTCTTGCCCAAAGGCAAAAGGAACCCATGTTGTGCAAAGATGGGCAGGAAGCTGTATACAACAAGTGCCTGAGCTGATGGAAAAGAAAAATGCGTGGGCAACCATTCACATCACCAAAGTAGCTCGCCTGGGTTTTGGCCCTGGTCCTCTTTCTCTCTTCCCAAATGCAAAGTGAACACAAGAAAGTCAAGGTGAGGGATGTGGACTGGCCCTGCTGTGGGGTGCTGAGGAGTCTGTAAACAGGAGGCTCCCCAGTGGGGCCTAGCAAGAAGAGACTGGAAAACAGAAGTCAAAGGCTCCCAGGCAGCTTCCGGTCCCCGGCTGGGATTATTTATCGTGGGTGCATCTGGATCGGAGGTTGGTTTCACAATACTAAAAGCACAGGAGACTGGGTATCTTTTTCCCTCATCTCTGATTCATGCACAACACTCTGGTTCCTTGGCAAGTGTAGACATCACAGTAGGTGCTGGATCTACAGAGAAGGCCTGATGCAGAGATCGACCCCCTACTGGCAAGGAAGACAAAGCAGACAGAAAAGCCCTTGTGATCATGAACAAAGTGCCTGGTTAGTGGGTGGGGGCGCAGAGCAGCAGGTGTCCAACAGAGCCTGGAGCAGTCCAGAGGAAACACTAAGCACAGCTTCTATTGAAGGAAGGAGAACACTTTCACTAGACGATCAGGAGTGGACATTACAGGCCAGGGAGATGCTGTTCGGAGGCATAAGTCTAGAAAGAGCTGGCATAGTGACAGTGACAGCAAATTCAAGGTGTCAGTGGCTCAGGCTTCCTGCAAAAAAAGTGGGGAGTCTAGGACCCATCATACAGTGTCCAGGCCAGGGGTACTGAAAGCTCATTTAGGAGCCTACCTTCATTCCCTGTACCCCTGAGAGCTTCCACTATGTCCGAGACTGTGCTCACATGGACATCAGGCCCTGTCCTTGTGCCAGGACTCTCCAGGCCTCACCAGCTTGCACGCCTCATCCAGGTCCATCCTCCTGGAGGCCCTACCTGACAACCCTGGTCCATGCCACCCAACAAGTTCTACAGGCTGGGAAGGCTGGCAACACTGGTGGCCTGCCTGGCTTGGGGGAGACACAGATTCTTCCCTAGGTGCTCTCTGGTTCCTCTAACGTCCCTGGCGCTTGCTTGGTATCTCTCACATAAACACGGTGGCCTCCCATGTCTCAGCTTTCCCCACGTGTTACACTTGCCACCCAGAGAGCATCAGTAGAAAGCAGAACTCATCTGCTTTGCAAAGTGGATTCACATTCCCAGACTTATCTATCTTTGGAAACAGTTTGGTGCCAGAACTGAGCTAGGGGTGTGGTCGCTGAAGGCAAACAAGGCTGCTGGGGATTTGAATGTGATCCCACCGTCCCTCACTGCCCCTGTGGCCTCATACAAGCACTTAAACACCGAGACTCGCTTTCTTCTTTTATGAGCGGTGGATGATAACCTTCGACCTGGGAAGCGCTGGGCATGCCTTTGGAATCCATCTCACTCACCAGCAGGTTGCAAAAAGAGAAGTTTTACACACCAACTCTCCACCAACTCCTTGTCCAAACACATACCATTTAGTAGTACCAAGCTGGATCTGCCTCCCAGACAACAGTTTACGAAGTGGAAGAACTTGTCTCCTCTCTCTCAAACAAAAATAAAAACAGAAATAAAAGAGCCATTTAAATCTTGGTTTCCAGTGGTGGAAGATGGAAAGGTGGTGCGAGGGCCTGGAGCGTGGGAGCTCCAGAAACAGGTTCTTATCTAAGGTGTGATAGAGAGGTGGAGGAAGACTGAGGGGAGGAGGAGTTAAGCTCAGCCTTGGACATGTACCTCTGCTGTGCCAGGCTTGGACAAGCCTCCCTGGATCTTAGCAATCATGTCTCCACCTTTAAGCCTGGGTTGGCAACTCATACCACTTTAAGATGACGTTCCTTGTGGGAGTGTCAGGACTATTTATTTAGTCAGGGACACCTGGGTCTGAATCTGATCTCAAGTACTTGCAGGCTGTGTGACATGAGGTGAGTTATCTCAATAGGCAACCTCAGTTTTCCTGTCTGTAAGATGGGGATATTCTTTCTCGTGCCATAGAGTCTAAGAAATAATTGAGGTCGACTGTGGGCTGTACTTAGCATTTGCCAGCTACATTATGAGCACCCATTACTAATCCTCCAAAAGAAGGAAGGGGGAAAGGAACATAATTCATGACCACTTAGACTGGCTTGACAAAGGGCTGGGGGGGTAGCTCAGTGGAAGAGCATTTGCCTAGCATGCACAGAGCCCCAGTTCAATCCCCAGCACCGAAGAAACAACCCCCTGAGCCTACTACACTGCTTCCTGTGTGAAGGAATTATATACACCTTAAAACTACAGGACAAGTAATCTCAGCTCTGGGGAGGCAGGGCAGAAGGGTCACAAGTGTTAGGCCAGCCTGGGCTACATAGGGAGACCCTGTCCTAAACAAAACAAAAACACTGGAAAACAAAAGCTTCAGGTCAGAATACCTAGGTCTAAGCTCACTTCTTAACTTGTGTGCCTTGAACAAATCACTGAACTTCTGAGTTTTAATTTCCTCATATATCAAGGGGGAAATCTACCCAGGGAGTTTTGATAATGAACTAAAAACACGAGGCACATGGGTGGTATTGGTAAAGGGCCTGCCTAGCACTTTTAGGAAGGATAGTGAGTCTGAGCTTCAAACCTCTGCTTCTTGGAGATTTGAGGTGAGCCCTTGGTGGACTTCCTTGCCTGCTTAGAAAGACAAAGGTTGAGAATGTGTTAAATCAGAGCCAGGCATGATGGCATCTGTCTGTAATCTTAGTACTTGGGACATAGAGGCAGATAGATCAGGAATTCAAGGTCATCTTCATCTACATGTTGAGTTTGAGGCCAGCCTGGGTTACATGAGACCACAGTGTCTCAAAAACAGCAGTAAGAGCGCGTCAGGGGCTCCTGGGTGGCTGGCTCTTGGTAATCTGCCTCTTTAACCACTGCCCAGATGTTGCCTCTCCGGAGTTTGAGATGCAATAGAAATAGAACGGACTAGCTGGAAATATGCATGGTTCTGAATTTTCTGGGAAGAAACAAGATGTGATGTGTTGTTTCCAAGAATAGCCTAAAAGCAGTTTGGGTTTTGATGACCGAGTCCCTTATTTGTGGTTTTTCTGCTTGCCTGCCTGCCTATGTGACTTCGTGAGTCACAAAGCCTTTCCCATCCCCTGCCTCGGACCACTGAAAATGAGCATTCCAGGCCCCAGATTGAGCATCATGATGGACCCAGCCCACAACATCTGGGAGACCATATCTAGGTTGGGAGACCATGTCTAGGTATGCAGAGACCCTGAACCTATCTTGAGATGAGAGCATCTCCTGAGCTCAGCTTGTCCTATGTATTCATATTTAGAACCTTCAAACCCACTGCACCCCTTGAACCCCATCACCTGCCCAATAACAGCAGACAGCATGACCATGTCCTGAGAAAAAGGTGGAGTTTCTGAAAACCCATGTGGGCCTGGGGAGGGACAGGGAGTAGCCTTCAGTCCACGAGGAATGCTCAGCCATCAACCCCATCCTTGGGCCCCACAGACAAGATCTGTTTCAAGGTCAATGCAACTTAAGAACCAGTGTCATTTTCACTACCAACCTGCCCTAGCCATCTCAGGTCTGCTGCAGCAAGCGGCCTCTGAGGAGGCTCAGCAATGACAGGGTGTCATCCTGTACTCACTGGGGATAGGAAGGTCTGCCAGCCCTTGCTCTGAGCCCTCACATACTACATAAACTCAGTCATTGCTCCTGAACCCCCCCAAGATGGGGCAAAAACAAGCCAGAGGTGCAGCGGTACAAAACATCTCCTACACGGGCTGCATCTATGCAGAGCCCAGCACAGGCAGGGAGCCCTGGTCACAGGTTGGCTTACATACCCCAGCCTCCTACCCAGCTTTCCATCTCCCAAGGTGCTAGGCAGCCAACATGAACCAGAAGGAGCAACTCCAAGCAGGACCTCAAAAAGCTATAGCAGGAGAAGGGCAAGTTGGAGGTCTGCCTGGGCTGCAGGGCTGGTTCAAGGCCAGCCTGAACAATTTAGTAAGCACTTGTCCTTTTTTAAATTGTTGATTTATTTTCATTTTATGTGTATGAATATTTTGCCTGTATGTAAGTGCACCTGTGTCATGTAATGCCCACTGAGGCCAGAAGAGGGTTTTGGAACTGGAGTTATGGATGGTTGTTAGCCACCATGTTGGTGCTGGGAACGGAACCTGGGTCCTCTGCAAGAGTAGCCAGTGCTCTTAACCAGTGAGCCATCTCTCCAGCTCTGGAAGATCCTGTCTTAAAAAGTAAAAAGAGTGCTGGAGCTATAATTCGAGAGTCTGGGGCTAGCATGTGTGAGGCCCTAGTAATGAAGAAGGGGGAAAAAAAGGCAACTCAGGCTGGGAAGGGACTGAGAGTCACCTGTTTCTC